AGCATGCAAAATAATGAAAATTACGACAAGATCGGAAACTAAGCAAACAACCAGTAGTAATATTAACAAAGAAATGAAAGGTCACAATGAGAACCCTATAATATATGGAACGCTTAATAAATATTTATTTATTTATTTGGTAATCATACGCCAAACGGCATTATACAATAAATGGTTTGAAAATAATGTAAGAGAGGGTGAAAACGATAAGTAAATATGAAGAGAGTTTACAAAATTTCGTAGCAAAGACATGTATATCAATAAATTTATTTACTTTTGTTAAGAGAAAATATGATCTTTGATGTTACGGATAAAAGCGCTGTATGTGCCTTCATAGAAATCTAAATCATTATGTAGCGAGTTAACAAGATTGACTATCCTGTTTTGTGGGCTATGAATCATATAGTTTTTGTTAAACGTAGTTGTTTTCAGTAATCGACTTCGTCTAAGAGTTAATCCAGATGGTGCTAATTCAAAACAGCTGTGTATGTCATGGCCATATATAATACCATTTGCCACCTTGTAGAAGGTCAAATCCGCGATCCTTCGTCTATCTGGCAGGCTTTTGATTCGGTTATGTTTATATATATCTTCTGTTGTGCGTGCATAACTAAGTGAGGGATTGCGGAAAGCCAGGGTTTGCACAACTTACGTTGTACTTTTTCGACGCGAGTGATTGAGCTGTCAGTGTGCGGCGACCAGATCACACTGTCATATTCTACGATAGGCAGTACTAGGGATGGGAAGTTTGTTTAATGAGTAAGGTTTGGCAAAATCCTTGCTGCTTCTTGAGATAAATCCAAATACTTTGAGAGCCTGACATGTGATCTTGTCGATGTGCTTAGAAAAGCTTAGTTTATTATCCAGGATGACGCCTAGATTAGGGGTATGCGAGCGTGAGGAGATAACTGCACATTTACTGTGATTGTTATCGAGCTTATTTTTGGAGCACCAGTCAGAGAGCTTGTCGATGTCATGTTGTAAAAGGTGAGAGTCCAACGTACTTTTTCAGATCCTCCGCATACAACAGGTATTCTGATTTGAAACCACAACCGAAATCATTGACGAAAATGTTGAACAAGAGAGGGCCGAGGTGAGAGCCCTGAGGGACACCAGACTTAACCTCATAATTACAAGATAGATGTCCATCAACTCTGTCGTGCAAGTGTCTGCCGTTATGGTACGAGCTTAGCCAGTTTAAGAGCATTTCCGCTGACTCCATACTTTCTGTTGTTGCTACAACAACCCCGCCCAGATCGGTTGATATCTCAGTCGTTGTCGTCAAGTTCCACTAACGGCAGCCCTATGAAGCATGCAGCTTCCACTGGGTCGGTCGACAGGGACAGAGCCGTTAGGGTTGTCGGATTTTCCGGACATGCGAAGAGATGTTTAGAGTCATGGGGGGTCTCTCCGCATGCTGGACACTCATTTGACACATCTGCGTTCAATCTGCTCTGGTATGGGTTTAACCTGCTGCAGTAGCCAGAGCGAAATTGGGCTAATGTGGTTCTTGTCTCCCGAGGCAGATGAAGCTCCGTCTCGTCAATGTCCGAAGGTTGTGTGCCTAGAACGGCATTCACAGGTCTAGAGTCTACATAACTCGAGACTGACTCCCTGTGAATGCCGTTCAGGGCCTGTCGGTATGCTGACGGGTCCAGAGGCTGCTTAATGAACCTCTGGACTTCGTCCGTCAGTTCGTATAGATGCCTCCTGACGTGCCTAGCGAGGGCACCTCTGCAAGCAGCTGTCTGTTTGGGTGGCCACATCTGTGGCTCCCAACCAGAAACTGCTTGCAGAGCATTATGTTATGCTCCTTGACTGGGAGCATTTTTGCCTCGCCATGAAGGTGGTGTTCTGGCGACGTCAGGAGGCATCCAGTCGCTGTCCTGAGTGTGGTGTTCTGAGTTGTCTGTAGCTTCATCAACTCCATAGTTTCTCAATTTATTCAGTAAAATGTTAGGTCGACGCGATCAAAGGCCTTACTGAAATCAGTATATACACTATGGACACAGGCGCTAGAATTCATTGCATGGAATTTATAGTTATATGTGTTAGGACGACCAAGTAAAAATAAGCCGGTTCTTTTTGGTTCTAAATCTAGTCTTTTATTATATATTTTAATACCTTAAGTGTCTTGACAAAGGCACGTGTAAATCGCAAGAAGTAAAAAAGTAGAGAGAAAGAAAAAAGGCGGAAGTTGCAAACTTGTCTTTTTGCGTAGTGTTTCCATACTTCCAGAATATAAATGTATTATATTTCAACACGCCTCCTTACATTTATATTAAATACTTATTGTAATCTTATTTTAACATGTTTCTAAATTTTTCGAACTTAACACTGCCTAACGCTTTAGTAAAAATGTCTGCAACATTGTTCTCAGAATTAATTTTTACAATTTCAATAGTTCCATTTTTAACGTTTTCATGTACAAAGTGGTAGTGAACTTCAATGTGCTTTGACTTTTTAGTAAAATTTCCATACTTTGCTATAGCTACTGCTCCTGAATTATCATCAAACACTTTAATCGGTTTACAGACATTTGTAAATACATCGTTAGTTATATAAAGCAGATAAAGAATTTCTGTTACAGCTTCTGATATTGCAATGTATTCAGCAAAAGTAGATGATTTAGTTACACTTCTTTGTTTTTTAGATTTCCAATAAATAGCATTTCCAAATAATCTTTTAACATAACCTGATGTAGATTTCCTGTCTACAGTATCTCCTGCAAAGTCTGCGTCTACAAAGCAATCCATTGTATCAGCATTAACATTTTTATAATATTTCAATTTAAGACTTCTGGTTAAATACAAATATTTGAGTACTCGCAAAGCATACTTAAAATGTGTTTCATTGCAGCAATTTTGATATCTACTTAAAAAATTTACACTGTAGGCTATGTCTGGTCTTGTGCCAGAGCTTATGTACAATAATGCGCCAATTAAGATTCTATATTTTACATCTTCGTTTAGGTCACATTCTTCCAATTTCAAACTCATTTCCATAGGTGTTTTATACAGTTTTGCGTTTCGAATATTTTATCGTTTAGCTAAAGATTCTATATACATTTCTTGGCTTAAAACCATAGTATTACAATTTCCATATTCATATTCAATATCAATTCCAATATATGTTTTAACTTTACCCATATCTTTCATCTTAAATTTGTTCTTCAGTTGGTTTTTAATGTTAATTATTTCTCGTATATCTTCGCAACAGATTATTAAATCATCTACAAATAATAGTAAATATGTGTTTAAACCACTTGCTTTTAACATAAAGACAATAATCATATTTGCACCTGCGAAAACCAATTGTAGTAACAGATTCGTTTACACATTCATACAAAGCACGAGGGCTTTCTTTTAACCCATATAAAGACTTTTTTAATTTATATACCCTGCCTGAACTATCTTCAAAGCCGATTGGTTGTTTCACATATACTTCCGATAACACCTTTCCATTTAAAAAAAGCTGTTTCGACATCCATTTGGTGAACTTCTAAACTATTTTGACAACAGTAAGCTAATAACAACTTCAATGTTTGCATTTTGGCGACCGGGGCATAAGTATCATCGACACCATCGGTTTGCTGAAACCCCCTAACTACCAATCTAGCTTTATACTCACTGTTAGCTTTCTTCTTGTAGACCCACTTGACATCCAAGACCTTTCTGTCACGAGGTTTGCTTACAAGTTCCCACGTATTGTTTTCCACCAAGCTGCTCATTTCTCGATTCATTGCCTCACTCCATTCCGCTGCTTTTTCGCTTGTTACTGCCTCCTGATAATTGATTGGAGTCGTTGCGTCACAAAAATTCGCCCCTATGCAGTAGTAGACGTACGGTAGTATTTCGTACGGTGTCTTTCTTTCTATTGTGTTTGTCAAAGTCCGATTTTTCAAATACGCGGCAGCTTTAATTACTTCTGGCCAATATTTTCGGTCTACTTTAGCCTCTGTCAAGAGACATCTTGCCATTTCCATTATCGATCGATTAAACCTCTCTGCAGTTCCGTTTAGCTCGTGTACATATGCCGGACATGCTTTCAACTTAATCCCCTTTTCTAGCAAAAACTGATATACTTTACTATTCATGTACTCCTTTCCGTTGTCGCAGCGCAACTCCTTTATAGTCTTACCCGTCTGATTCTGAATTTCATTCACATACTGCATCATACATTCGTATACTTGTTCTTTCGCTTGAATACAGTATACTTTCGCTAATTTGCTGTAATCTATAAAGCTCAAGAAATATTTCTCACCATTATCACCCGTAGTTCTATGAGGCCCGTTCAAATCTGTGTGTACAATATCAAGCACGTCTCCGGCTCTTTGTCTGGTGTTGTTAAATGGCAAGTTACACATTTTGTTTTCAATACAGGTGGCACATTTCATATACTCTGTCTCAATTTCTTTAGGCAATCCTTCAAGCAGTTCCTTTTTACACATTATTTGGAGATTTTTAAAATATACATGTCCGAGAGTTCGATGTAATTTTTCTTTCATTGTTAGCTCTTTATTCGTGACCACATTCGCCTTTAGTTTTTCTTTTGTCATATAACTTTTCATTTTGTATAGTCTTTCCTCTTTCGTTGCCATCGCTACAATTTCTCGATAGCTGTTGTATATTTTCGATAGTCGGCCTTTAGAGATGACAGAGTGATTGTCGGTGATTTTAGAGTAGCTTAATAAATCTGCTTTCATTCTTTAACGTAAAATACATCAATCAGTTTAACCTCGGATTTTTCATCATACTCTGGAAAGAAAGTTTTAATGTTACCGACTTTAGTAGCTTCCATGATTCTCCCATCGCCGACTTTAACCTTAATGGGGTTCTTCAATGTCTCATACTCATTATAATACTCATCACTGTTAATGATGTGGTCTGTACATCCACTATCAAGCAACCATATTCGGCCCTATTCCCGTTGGCGTTGTCTCTATAATAATCGTTTCTATGTCGTTGTCGTTTTTATCGTCGCTTCGTTCCTAAATTCGCATTCTTGAAGTATATTGAAACGACGGAGAAAAGTTATCGGAAACAAAAAATTAAAATTAATAAAGTATGGCAGCGCTGCAGTGTTTTGCGTTGTTAGTTTTGACACTGAATTTTGAATTTTGTTATATTAACGAAAAATTAAAGAATGGCGAGTACGGAATTTTATTTTTCAAGTTCAAGTGAGGACAATGAAGTGAACAATATAAATAAACATCGCAGGAGGTTACGACATAGCATAAATGTACTTACACTTCCTTGTATCTGGAAGTGTAAGTACATTTATGCTAAGAAAATGTATTTAAGTAAATTATTTATATATCTACGTACATGTACATATGTGCATATTTTTTAGATTTGTGAACACATTTAGATTAAACAAAGCTGCGTTTCAATACGTGCTAGAGCAAATCCGACCGAAACTAAAACGCAACACGCGAAAGTCTGCCATTACGCCAACAATAAAACTGGCAACTGCTTTGCGGTTTTTTGCGCAAGGGTCATATCAGCTTAGCGTTGGAAATGACTTTAATTTGTCGTTGGCCCAACCCACGGTATGCAAAATTTTATCCGAGGTGTTAGACGCGATGGAAAGTACAATCTGCAAAAATTGGGTTAAGTTCCAAATGTCGGAAGATGACGATGGAGTGCAAGCGAAGTTTTTTTGAACGAACTGATTTTCCTGGAATCATTGGCTGTGTAGACGGGACGCATATTAAAATAATTGGTCCTTGCAAAAGCTCTCAACATTTGTATTACAACAGAAAAGGTTTCTTTAGCGTAAATGCAATGATTGTAAATACTTGAATGAATGTAATTTATGGAAGTGATTACTAACTATTTATTATTTTTTGTATTAGATCTGTGATCATAAAATGCGTATCAGATACGTAGACGCCAGACATCCAGGCTCTGGACACGATTCCTTAATTTGCAATACCAGCCGAGTAAGGTTTTTACAAGAAAAATATTAAGCTGGTGAACGTAATTCGTGGAATCTTGGTATGAAATTACAAATAATATTGAAATGAGTTTTACATACAAGTTTTTAGGCGATGTGGGTTACCCATTAGAACCATTTCTAATGACACCTTATAGATCAGCGGCTGAACACAGTGCGGAAAGCCGCTACGATTCCGTTCATTCCAAAGCAAGAAATATTGTTGAGCGAGTGATTGGAGTGCTCAAATCGCGATTTCGATGCCTCCTTGGAGCGCGTGAGTTACACTATGATCCCCAAAAAATTACTAAAATCGTAAACGCTTGTGCTGCTCTTCACAATATTTGTCTTCACTACAATACATACTTTCCTGGAGATGATCTACAAACGCCTTTCGAAGAAGCAGAAAATTCTGCCATTACTAATGAAAATGAGGCAGGTGGTAGCTTAGAGGCTCCCAGATTAAGAGATGTGATTAAAAGCAATTTGTCTTTATAAGTTTTATTTTTAATTCATGCTATATACATACATACTTAAAGTAAAAAAAGAAAAAACACTTAATAAAAAATAAATAAAATTTCAAATGAAATAAATTACATATTTGAACTTAATTGTTTCTCTAATAACTGCAACTTTTTTCTTTTTACTGCAGCATCCAGCTCCAAAAGCTCTTCTTTACGTGCCTTCCTTTTGTAAATTTTTAGGCGTTCTTCTTCTATCTCATACCTTTTTCTTTGGTATCTGGAAACATCTTTCATGTATCACTTAATGGACTATAAATGGTCGCACTGCTTTTCCTGTATTTCGGTCTGCTTCCTCAACAGCTCTATTCTTTCTTTTTCTGAGGGTTTTGTGCTTCTTGAGGATCGCACTCTTGTTGAAACTGTGGGTGTTTCATCTTCCACATAGTCTTCGACCACATATTCTTCAGCGTTTTCTATACTTGCCTGTATTTGAGAACTCGCAGTCGTTTCATCAAGGTTAAGCAACGCATCAATTTCGGTATCTTCAACCAAACCCAACTCACTCCCTTTTGGATTTATTTGCTGCTCAAACTGCAACGAATTTGCAACCGCTTCTTCCAGTGGTGACAGTTGAATTTTTCTATTGGCTCCTCCTCCTGTTGCTCTCGCTTCGGTTTTGTTTTTGAGCAGTTTTTTCTTAACCTTGAATTTCAAGTCCCTCCATACCTTTAGTATAATTGTATAATCGTTAGTTTTAAGTAATATTTACTGCTAACATAATTTTACTTACTTTGTGCCAACCGTCTCCATCACGAACTAGAGGTCCAAAAGGATTTACTTTTTCCGCAACCACGTTCCAAAAACTATCGAAGTTTAGAGGATTTATGCCCTTCCTAAAACCTTTGGCGTATGCGGGATTCTTTTCCATTTCGGAAACTAAAGCCTCAAATTGCTGCACGGTAGTAATTTTCATTTTAACTTTATTAAAATCGCAATCCTTTCGCTTTCGTTCTAAAAAATGCGGACGACAGTTGACGAATGTTTCTATGACGTTCCTATTTTCGTTTCAAAATTGAGAATACCGATATTTTTCCGATAAACTTCGATAACGCCAACGGTGATGCCAACTTGTCGTTTTTATTTCGGTTTAAAGCGACAACGCGCTATCATCATCGCTATTTGCTTTGTAAGCCTTTATTGGAGTCTAATGTGCTCAGCTGTTTAAATACATCATCGTAAAGGGCTAACTATGATATGAATAAGCAAGCGTATGCAAACGTGCGAATACACAAAATCCTATCCTGAAACTATAATTTGCTTAACATCAAGTTTCGCCAAACGTCATTTGCTTAAGGAAAGAGCGATACTGATCGCACCTTCCGTACGGAATCAGCTGTTTGTCCTCGTACGTATGTATGTACATATGTAACACATGCAGTGCTGCCGCATTGGCTTTTACCGAAGTTGGTAATTTTTTTCTTTATTTATCTTCTTCTTCTTCTTTTTTGGCGCTGTAACCGCCTATGCGATTTTGGCCGAGTTCAGCAAAGCACGCCAGTTGTTTCTCCTCTGTGCCAACTGACGCCAAGTGAAGCCAAGTCCTTCTCCACCTGATCTTTCCATCGCAGTGGGGGCCTCCCTCTTCCTCTGCTACCACCAGCGGGTTCCGAGTTGAATACTTTCAGAGCTGGAGCGTCGGTGTCCATTCGAACGACATGACCAAGCCAGCGGAGCCGCTGTATTATTGTTTATTTATCATATTTGGTAATTTGGTAACTAATTTTTTAAGCTTGGTAACTTTTTCGATTCAGTCCTACATGTAACACAGGTCAAAAGAAGTTCTGGTTCCACATTAGGAAGTGGGCCGTAAGCATTTCCTTTTACAGAAACACCAGGTTATCCTGAAAGCTATTGTTATATCTAATAAATGTGGCAACACTGAACTCATGTAAGTAAAATATAGCCACCTAAAGTCTACACTACGTTGCTTATGCATTGGACAGACTTTTCGTTCATTTTCTGACAGTCAGTTACGGCAGCTTATTCATATTATAGTTAGCCCTTAAGTCACTTCAAAGTCACTTATGCAAGCGATCTGTTCGGTAGGATTCAGGTGAGGAGTGGTATTATGGGCGATGTCGCAAAAAGATCGCTGATTTCGGTTGCAGTATTAGCTGATTGATTGCCCCACACCATGTTCGATGGCACCTCGCTATTGCTACGTTTTTTGTTTTGGATAAAATTCCAGAACGCCTTGGTGTTGGACTACAGTGAGTTTTCTACTTTACCAACATAACTTCTATAGCACAACGTACTTACCTTCTTGCATTCCAGCCTAAGGTCACTAAAACGTGTATAATTTAGTCTTGTTTTTCGTTTCTTATAGTGTGTGCCGCCTTTTTGAGTTTCACTTTCTCTACCAGTTCTTTGGAAAACCAGGAAGGGAAGTTTCTCGACTTGGAGTACACCGGAACAAACTAGGAGACACCTTCGTAGATTGTGTGGTAAAGCCAGTCAAGTTTATCGTCAACTGTTTCTTGTTTGTATAGATCCACCCAGTTTGTCCTCATGTGGAATGCGTTCAAATTTATATAGTTTGCTTTTTTGTAAACATAGATTGGCGATGCATCTGGTGTTAGGCTGGGTTTGAAACCAAGCTCAATAGCCAGAGCAGGATGGTACTTATCCTCTGGAACGAGAGCAGGAGTAATATTAGGCGATATGTCGATATCACTGAAACAGAGGTCCAGTGTATTGTTTTATGCATTAGGAATGCAATTACACTGCTGCAGCCGGACGAAGTATAGCAATCATAAAGTAGATTCGTGCAGTTACTACTAGGTGTGCTACTAGGCAAGTTGAAGTCGCCCACAACCAGAAGTTTTGCATTTCGAAATTTATCAGTTATAAAAAAAAATGGTTGACGAATGAGTTATGTAAGTTTCATAGGAGGTGTGCGGGGGTAAGTAAACGCAGCCGATAATAGTATCCGAGTTATTACCCTTAACTCTAACAAATATTTGCTCAATGCCGTCGCCAACTAATGGAATAACTTCAACTTCAATATAACGTTTAATAGCTATGAATACACCTCCGCCACGCTCATATCCGCTTACCAAAGAATTGCGATCTTTACCATAAATAGTATAAGTAGAATCTAATATTTCACCCACATGTATAGAGGGGTGCAGCCAAGATTCTGTAATGCAAATGACATCGTGTTGGATAATTGACGTTGCGGCTAGGAAGCTGCTGAGCTTCGTGCGTAGACCTCGGACGTTCTGATAATACACACTGAGATCCATTAACTTCTTGTTCCTCACTTACTACGTTTATACGCACGCATTATTTGCAAATAACAATTTGCAAAATGGTAAACTTTGCCGTATAAACGCTGAGTTAATTTTTTATTTGCAAATAACTAAATCACGCAAATAAGTATTGATTAGTGGTACGATTTGTAAATAAGCGCAAGACGCTGCCATTCTTAAGTTAATTTTCCTTTTCGATGGTCATCTTGCCATTTTTAACTTTTTTTTCCTTTTCGATGGTCATATTATTGCCTTTTTATAATCAGGCAATATTAAAAAAGAATTTTTCACCATCGAATAAACAGTGAGTTAGGTATTTGCAAATAGCTTACGTATACGTATAAACGTAGTAACTGTTCGTACGAAAATTCTTCTTTACTATTTTGGGAATTCCATTAACGTATTTAATAGTTTTGCTGGTATCACCACTTTTTTCCAGGGACTCGAGTTCAAAGCGTAAGTTTTTAAGGTGCAATTGTTGAGTTGGAGTGACATCCGGTTTGAATGTAATATTGTTTCCGTCAGTTGGCTTATTTCGGAGAATAACGATTGCATCGGATGCCGAAGGTGTAACGACTAGAAGTGGCCTCAGGCGACCAGGAAGAGGACGTCCAAGTCTGCGTAATTTAAGGTTGGCAACACCAACTGACAAACCAGAAGGTAGGGCGCCTGACAATTTTGCTCTATCATAGTCCAAACGATCTTTACCCGCTGCATTGACGGATTCTATGACATTTAGGGCGATGACATTAGCTTCGCGACGTTTGCGTTCATTTAACTCCGCAAAAATTTGCTCATTAATTGTTAATTAACAAAAATATTACTGGAAAATATGAAAAATGACATTAAAAAATATATCGAGAAATGCATTAACTGTAAGAAAAATAAAATCAATATACACCTGAAAGAACCAATAACAATAACGGAGACATCTCCAAAAGCTTTTGATATAGTACAGATCGATACAGTTGGACCCTTTTCTAAATCTTTAAACGAAATCGAATATGCAGTCACCATTGTATTATAAAAATAAAATATTTAATTGCATCCCAATAAAAAGCAACACGCAAAAACAGTTGCTAAAGCAATATTCGAAAATCTCAATCTAATTTATGGATGTATGAAAAAAAACCTTAGGGGAGATATGGGAACCGAATATAAAAATGATTTATTTGAAGAATTATGTAAACTTTTAAAAATTGAGCATAAAACCTCAACACCTTACCATCATCAAACTTTAGGCACGGTTGAACGCAGTCATAGAACATTCAATGAATATGTGCGTTCCTACATATCCATTAACAAGGACGATTGGGATGAATACCTTAGATACTTTTCGTATTGTTACAATAGCTCAGTCCATGGTTACTGTCCTTTCGAACTAGTTTCTGACTTACGAATTCTTACATGAAAACATAGGCTGACTTCCAAAACGTGTCAATACAATGTTTGGATACTGTAATACTGCGTAACTCAAACTGTTTGCATCTGCAGAGCTGTGACACATTGCAACCATATACATTGCATATTTTGAATATTCAATATAGCAATGAACAATTTTTCTGAATTTTCCATTTTTTAAACACCAATGGTAACCAATAACAAACGAAGCATAAACTTTGTTTCTCTAGCGATGCGTTTGGAAAAGTTTGCATTGTCAATATTGTGTAGTTCGGCATTATGGAACATAATACGTACAAAGTATGCAAAGCAATTGACGTTTTGGAAGTCAGCCATAGTTAGCCCAGTATATAACTATGAGGCATATGACAAAGAAATAAAATATAAATAAAATAAAATATAAAATAGCACAGCAAAGAGCTAAAAGATTAGTGCAAGAAGTTAAGAAAAGACAAAAAATTGATTATGATAGAAGTATTCTGAGTAAGGAAATAAAATTTCAGGGGCTAAAAAACTGTGTACTCAAAAAAATTCTAAGACTTCCGGGAAAAAAGTTTCAAATTTAGGTGAAAATTTGTTACACTTTTTTGTAGTTTTCTACAAATTGTTGGACTTGGGTATATATGGGGTTTGTCTGAGAATGAACTAAATTTTAATTGAAAATTCGTAAAAATATATAAATAAACATAAGGGGCACACAATATCACTTGGAAATGGCGTGCTATAGATATGACCGATACTGTATGTGTCTGAATTACAGATCAAAAATTGTAAGCAACAAAAGGCAACTTGCGCGGTTGGTCGAGCTGATGCAGGAGAATGAGGACATATGCAAAGGAATTTTCGGAAAGAGTAGGGGCGGAAGCCCCGCTTCTATTGTGAAAGATATGCAATATATCTTGTGCACACGGAGGAAAAGGATTAGTTTCGACAACTAAAGATATTTAGTTCCCGAATTTTGACAATATTTAGGAACTGTTACCAAGGATTGCGAACTATTACCATGGGTTGATAATTATAACTAAATATATTAAAGCTGCTAATATTAATCCCACCCAAACCCTCCCCACTAGAAAGGGGACAGTCCCCGCTTTCTAAAAAGGCGTATTCCCCCCTTGGGCTCCTCCCACAGGCCCCTAGAGAACCGTTTGAAAAAGGGGCGAAAACAGAATTTTCTTAGGCAAACTGAGCAGTTTGAAGTGGAATATCACCCAACTAAAAGAAACCGTGGGATTATTAAATAAAAGAAATTATGCCAAATTAGATATCGGGCGATTTTGAATAAAGAATAAACAAGTTAATTAAAAATAGAAAAAACAAGTTTTTATAAAAAAAATTTTCTTTTTAAGAAATGTATTTTTGCGTAGAATTCCTTTCTGCCGCACTTAGGGATTATAACCCTCAGGCAGTAGAATTCTCCTTTCTGTGCTACCAAAGAAAGTGGGCTGAACACCTTTTGCAGGGAACACCATTCTGCGTAGGAGGCCTTCGGCCGCACTTAGGGATTATAACCCTCAGGCAGTAGAATTCTCCTTTCTGTGTTGCCAAAGAAGGGGGGCTGAACACCTTTTGCAGATAACACCTTTCTGCGTAGGCGGCCTTCGGCCGCACTTAGGGATTATAGCCCTCAGGCATTAGAATTCTCCTTTCTGTTTTGCGAAGAACTGAACACCTTTTGCAGAGAACACCTTTGTATATTTTTAACGCTTACTGGGTTATATCCTATCTTCTTTTGTCTCTCATTCTTTTGCATATTTTGGAGTTTGACAGCTGAACTCCGCCATTTAATTTGCATATGCAACCGAAGTTATATTAAGTTATAGCTAA